CCTAGTAGACATTCATCCTCAGCCTCTACAACTTCTCCCCCTCTTCTGAGCTAATAGGCCATTCCTTTAGGCACCTTACAATTTGAACTGCAACCTCATAACGGATTACGCATTGGTCTCTGCTGGTTAGAGGAGGGAATTACCAGAATGGCCTATAAGCTTCTCTACCTGGACAATCAGGTGATTTTAGTGGGCCACTCTGGTTCTGCCAGCTAATATGAAGGCTGTCACATCTGTTGTTTCTTACCCATTCTGGTGAACTTTGTCACCAAGGAAAGGCAGCAGGTCTTCCTTCTGAGCCAGATACCCTATATTCCATAAGGCCCAGTCAGCATGGCCTATGGTGAGGTATTACGGGAATGGCATTCAGAGCATGCCAGCCTTGCTGCCTAACCTGTCGCCCAAGATACACCCCTGCCTGAAGGCCTGGGAAGCTAAGAGCTCCTTCTTTACTCTCTCCAGCTACCATTAAGATGCTTCACCTGCTACATTTCCTTACCCTCCAGGGGTAGGCAACCTGATGCCCTTCAGCTGTCATCTCAAAATATTGGTGGGGGGGGGGGGCACCAGACTCCCTACACCTGCCTCACTCCATTTTGGTATTCACATTTTATCCTTTTTCCACACTACCCTCCTTCCACGGCATCGGTGGCACCTTCCATCTGTTACAGCAACAGAAACACAGCCCTATACAGACCGCTGTCCTCTGCACTTCTGCACAGTCACCAGTTAGAGGTTCTGAACCAGGGGCCTCCCAGGATTCCTTAATGGCAACACTACTTTCTCTACGCTCCACCCCTTTCCTCAGACCACCCATCTCTTGATGGTTTCCCTACCTTCGTGATAGGTTCCCCCCGTTCTGAAAGTTTGAAATACCTCTCCTAAGGTTTAGTTCCTGCCAGGAACAACTTGAAGCTGATACATGCTGGTAGCCTTTACCTCACCCTAGTTTGCCCTCATCCCCACCCACCACTGGAATGCAACCCACCACTTGAGAGTTTCTCCAAAATTGGGCCCTCAGGCTGAAAGAGGTTCAACACCTTTGTGTGAAAACAAACCTTAGAAGAGGCCTTCTCATTTGCTTGGTTCTTTGTCTGGCTAACATACCAAGCACTTATTTAACTGCAGGTTTTTATCCTGTTCTTTCAGCATGATTATTTCCAAGGTAGCTCACAATCTACTATAGAAACAGTATATTAATATAGCACCCAAAAAGAGCAGATCGTGATTGGAGCAGAAAAACTCATACAAGACATTATAGTAGTCTAAATGTTGTTGCTAAGTACCAAGGGATGGCTAGAGTTAATCTCCACCAATTTCCAGTGCTGATCCAATATATTACCTTTTTAAACAATAAAGGATGATAATAGCAGGTAGCAACCTCTGCTTAAATGTATTCACTTTCATCAGCGGCAACAAGTTTCTAAGACTTGGGTTCCCATGAGGTTTTTGCTTCATTCCATAGCAACCTGGGTCATGCTGACCTGGGCAGGAAGCTTAACACTGCTGAATGAAATTTTTAAAAGGTGTGCATCCCTATGTACAGTATTTCAAAGCTGGGCGCTGAAAGTTAGCAAAAAAATCAAACAGAAAGAGCATTCTGTGCCTCCAAATATATAGCCAAATGGACCAGCCTTCCCCCAACCTGATGCTCTTCAGATGAAACCTCTCCAAATTCCTCACCATTTGCATTAGCTGTGCTGGCTGGGAGCTGAAGGACATTCGTCCAAAATATCTGGAGGACACTGGGTTGGGGAAGGCTTCAGCAGAACGTTTTGCCTCCTTCCTCCAACCACTTCTTAATGCATGCAACTAGACTATGACCAGGGCACCAGGCAAAGATCTTTCCCAGTTCTGCTATCCAGTTCTGTTTCACAGACCCTCATCTGAGAGCAGTTTATATATGAAAACCATGCATTCCCCCTCTGCTCCCTGGGTGGGTGGCCTGTGGCCCTTCAGATGCCATTGGACTCTACCTCCTATCAGCTGGAGCCATCATGGCCAAAGGTGGGTTGTAGAATGATGGGACAACATAACCCAACATAACCCAACAACCCCATAAGAGAACCATGTGTTTCCCACCTCTGCTATAAGTCATGGCTTCCCCCTGAGCTACTAGCTTCAATGGCAAACCAGCCATTTCTGGTTAGAAATGGCCTTTGCAGAACTTTTTCTGCCTTGGCAGAGAAGGAGAAATGAGACAGAGCACTATAAATCCAGGTTCCTCTTTACAGTTACTTCACTGCCAACACTCAGCGGCAGAATCTACTCCATGAAAGGCCACACTCCCATAGTTGAAGGGCAGACTTGGAACAGACAAAACATACCCTGCCAAGTCTTACAAGATCTTTAGTAAAATGGGGTGACTGCAGCAAAACATTCTGCAACACCATGGAAAAGGCTGTACTCCGTGACTGCACAGGGAATCAGCATTCACAAACCAGGTTCTAGTATGCACAAGAAGCCCTCCCTTCCTCCTTCTCCTAAGCTTGAAGCTCTGAAGGAGAGCAGTGGATTGTTTCTGCAATGGTCCTGTTTACCTTCAGTGTTTAGATCAATATAAATGTGCTTCCCAACACTTCCTGAGCTTGAAACTGGGGCAGGAAGCAGTCAAGCCTTCTGCCCCACAGAAAGTAACTTTGAAATGGTGCCGATGGTTCTGATTTAGGCTCTAAATATATTGTATTCTCTATCATATTCTTGAAAAGCAGGATCAAAAGGCCACCTGATTGTACACCTGCATAATATGCTTAGGATTAGAATGCAGGTTTCCTAAAGGATCTGTGCAAATGGTATTATGCAACATAGCAAGTCCAATTGGTTTCCAAGAAGGCTAGATGCATGAAGTTGATGTTTCAACAAGAATAGGTAAGCTAGTTTTTCCAAAGTGTTTGTGTGCGTGTGTGCATTTCTGCAGACCTTTGAGCTCCAATAACCCTGCTGATATTTCCCTGCACAGACACATGGGTGTGCATGAACTAAGTTTAAGATTTTATATTTTGGTAACAGGTTTCACATTTGGTGCAACGTATATCCAATGATGGTAAAGCTCTCTCCAGTAGTAAGGTATGAATGTCTTTTAAGTGAAATTCTGGAATTCCTCTGCAGGAAAACAGCTCACTGCACAATGGGGGATTTGTCTCTCTAAGCCTAGCAGGATGTTCTCCTTCATCGGCAAACATCAACAGCCCAATATCACTCTGGCTATTGATGACAGGCTCTCAAACTCTTCTGCAAATGGACTTCCTTCCTGCAGCATTAAGCTAGTACTTCTGCTCCTGGTATCACAGTTGGCTGCCTTTAATGCTACAACCCAGAAATTCCCATGTAGAAATGTACTGATACATCACATCCAATTTATCTCCCTTATATGCAATTCCAGCTTCTCCTACTAAAAGGTCTAACCTCTACCTTGAGGCTGGTTTCCCCCTCTGGCTCCTAACTGTTTTCAGCCACCCTGATTTCCACAAACAAGATAGAAAGCTGGAGCACCAATTCACTTTTCCTTCCTGCCATGGTCCTTACTGAATCCTTACAATTTGTAGTGATAATTGTAACAAGCGCTGAAAGAGTCTTGGAGGAAAGGAACTAAAAGCAGTACAAAGAACACAGCAAACATTAATTAAAAGATTCACACCACTGTGAGAGGATCTTATACAGCAGAGGATGCAATGTAAGCCACAACTATGATGGTGTCTGTTGGTTCCCAGCTCAACCTCTCCCCACTCCTAGGGAAATTTGGCCTCCTGGCTTCTGCTATCAGGGTCACCGGGATGCTTCCCAGGAATAACCATCAAGCAAAGAGGGAAAGCCAGCCATCAGCCTAGGGTACAAGGGCCACCAACTTCTATCCAAGCAAGCACACTAGAGAAGGAAGAGTAGCCAGACCCAATGCTCGCTTATAACTCACCACATTGTTCTGGCCTCGAAAAACCTTTTCCCTTGTATTCCCTTTTCCTCATCTCCCCTTCCCTTGCCATCTTATTTTGAATGGTTGATAGCCCATCTCTCTCCCACCCACCCCCTTTGGTTTGAGATGCTTTAGGAGAAAAATAAGATATAAATGCAGTGAACAATTTATTACTAAGTAAATAAATGACTGTTTACTGTGAAGAAAAGTTAATCAGTGGAGAGAGAAAGGCAACCAAAAACACTTGATTCCTGAATATTTTTCTGCAATCTCCCCCAGCTTTTCTGCCTGTCTTCAGAATTCTGAACAGAATGAGAGCTTGCCAACTTTTTACATGAAAGTATGATGCAAAGCCAGGATCTTGGCTCACACGTCAGATGCCCACCTCCAAATCCCTAGGGCACAATAAGCAGAGGCAGACAACCATACAATACCTGCTCAAAAGCTTATGGCACTGATCACCTGGAGAGGAGGCCCCCCCATAGTCCCAGCCATGCTTTAAGACCAAAGTTTCCCTAGTCCAGCATCTGTCTTGATGCTTGTGGCATCATGTGCTGTTCATCAGCTTTCATCTCCACCCATTCGCCAACCTGGTATCCTTGAGATATTTTGAATGACAACTCCTAGCATTCATGGTCATTGGCCATGCTGACTGGGGCTGATGGGAGCTGAAGTCCAACCAGGTTGGGGAAAGCTAGTGAAGATGATACCAAGCTAGATGAAACAATGGTCTAACTTGGTATTAAATAACTTCATGCTTCCTTCTATAGCGCTTCAAAATATCTATTTTTATTTATATTAATATTTATATACCACCCCACTCCCATAGGCTCTGGGCAGTTTACAAGATCAAAATATCATTTCGATATAGCTCTGAAGTCACAATGAATTGTCATTCAAGTCGCAACACTTGAATGCCAATGAAATTTCAAAAGCAGGTATTTCTCATCTTAATTATTTAAAACATCTGATATTTTGCTTTACAGGGGGATAAATGTGGGCTAGACATTTTAGACTCTTTTTGCTGAGCAGCCCACTGTACTGCCCTATGGATATGTTGCTATAACTTTGCTGTAGGACAATGACTTACCTTTGCTTCTTCATTGACATCCCAAGTAAAAGACACAGCATTATAGGCAATTTCTTCAATATTCCCAATGGTGTTGAAACTCTCCTTGTAATCAGCTGTAACAAACAGCATAAAAAATAATAGATGCTTGTGTAAAACATGGATCTTTATCCTAATACTCCAGCATGTTTTCGGATTCCTCATGAGCTGCACTGATGATTTGCTGTCACATAAGCTTGGTAAACCATCCTGGAATGATGGTTGGAGAATGGCGAAAGGAAGGAAGGAAGGAAGGAAGGAAGGAAGGAAGGAAGGAAGGAAGGAAGGAAGGCAGGCAGGCAGGCAGGCAGGCAGGCAGGCAGGCAGGCAGGCAGGCAGGAAGTTTCCTACTTTTGGGCATCATTAAATGTTGCCACAATCTAATTTGGTTTTATTGTATTCCATTAGCTGAATTCCTGTGAGAAGGTTTCCCCTGCCCTAAGAGCCATTTAGGCTAAAGGAGTGGAATAGAAATCAAATACATACATACATTTTGCATTTCAGAATGAAAGTTCTGTGGCATCTGGTTTGCATGACACAACAACTCATCATGGGTAACTAAGATCTGTTGTCATGTCATCCAGTTCTAGATGGTTTCCCACAGGGTGGCTTATTTGTCAGCAACAAGCCACACTAATACATCATGGCTTGTCTAGGGGCTGTTCATACTCCAGTGGGTTATTGTGCTGTCCAAACGCGGGACAGCAAATGCAGCGTGAGATGTAGAGACTGACCAGAAAGCCACTCAGCCAGGGCAGCAGACCCCGCTGCTCCTCCTCATGATCCCGCCCATGCTGCTGCCGGCGCCCGTCCTTCCACTGACCCAGGCAGCACTTGCGGCAACTATTGACCCCAGAATATTGCACATATGTGGTTATTATCTTGGACTTGGAAGTGTGCTCTCCGATATGCAGTCTTTCCTAGCCAATTTCTTTGTCTGCTTCAGACATCAAGGGAGCTGCTGAGTAGGTAACAAGGAAATCAACACAGAAAGACCACGTATAAGCTAATTCATGCACATTTGTCAGGGTCCAATTGCCAAGTTGTCAGTGGAATATCATCACCACCACCACCACCAAACACAGTTGTGCTTATATTATTATTATTGTTGTTGCTGCTGCTGCTGCTGCTGCTGCTGCTGCTGCTGCTGCTGCTGCTGCTGCAGCTACTATTCAAACACAGTTGTGCTATTTTCTGGAGCGGAAAAATACCCTGACCCTAATTGTGCTATTTTGAAGCTCCAGTTTTTTAAAAAATGACCACAAATGAAAAGGGGTAACAATAAAAGTAGTGAGGAGGAAACAAGATAGATTCTACAGCAAAGCAAAATTAGATGCCTGCCATGCCTGGCTGGAGGACTGAGCTGGCAGGATCTGGAGCACAACCAACAGGAAGACAAATCATCTAAATAACCAACCCACTATGTAGGATTTACAGTGTGCCTTAGCAAGCTGTGCAAACCCAACAAGTATGAGGAAATCAGCCATGAAGAACATAAATGGCAAAAAAAGGAAGTGATCAAAGATTCATCTGTACTGGCACCAACTGACTGTAGTTGTTAATCATGTTGGCTTAAAATAATATTTGCAAACCAGTTTCTAATTCTGGTGCAAAGCCAGTTCCAGGTTTGCATGGGACCCTCAACTAGCCACCCCCAACCATAACCATGGGCCTCCCCAGTGCAACCCTGGTCAACAATTGTTTGTTTAGTAGTTACTTCCCATTTTTCATCTGGAATCCTTAAACTGGTTTTACAGAATATATTTGCTTTATAAAATACAACTACAGCAAGAGCACAGGTTCAAAAACTATACCAGCATCATTTTATCTCCTCCCACAGTCAGTTTCAGTAGACTCTGCGGGAATGGGGGCCAGTTCGTGGAGCCGGCGCTGATGCTCCTGTTGCTTGCTCCTGTCTCCCTCACAGCTTCTCACTTCCCACAGGACAGCTGTGTCAGTCAATGTGGCCCATGGACTGCACAGTTAAAGGCTGCATCACACTTATTACAAAGCAAAGGAAAGAGCATGTGGGCCGATGGCACATTCCTGATCTGCTGATCATGATATGGAGCTTGCTAGTTTCATGCTTGCACTGGGCTTGCGTCACACCGGCTGCCCTGGATTTTTTTTATGTTTGCAGCATTCATTCACCACACTGGATTTTTAAAAAATTGTAGATTAAAAGGCATGAAATGTCAGAAACTACCCAAAGAATTAATAAAGTGTTGTTGCTTTTAACAAAATGCTCTAAAGGTTTCCATTAAGAAAAAAATCCAAAAGTAATATACACCTAGCAATCAACATTTAGTGAAATAAAGGAATAAAGCAAAAGTGCCTTAAACTTAAAAAAGGCACCTTGTGAGTATGAGCAGCGAAGTGCTTTTTCTCCACTGAAACATGGAAAATTTCCAGGCCATTCTTTTGCTACCCCATTGTAGTTGTTGTTGCAATTGTAGTAGTAGTTGTTGTTTTTAAAATATGAATATCAGAGGAGCAATAGTCATGGACAATTAATACTGGCAACCATATCAACACAACAGAAATCCGACTGATTTGGCAGAGGTATTCATGAGCCTGCCTGCTCTGAAGGGCTGGGTTGCTGCCTGGGAAAGTGAAACCATGTGCCTGGAACTTCTCGAACACTTCAGGGCACAGAGATCTGTAGAACTTCCTAATGGGAGATTTGGCTTTTCTAGAGGAGGAGGAGGAGGAATCCCCACTGTCAGCATTTCAGACTTCTAATATGCATTGGATCATTGCAATGCAAAGTAGAGGAAATTGGATCATTTTCTGGTCAGTTATCAAGTCCAGATGCAAGTGCAAGATGAGAAATTAGACCAGGGCTGACATCAGAGGTCAGTATCATAGGGAACCTGCTGAGTCCTATAGTCAAGCAGGGGATACGCTGCTGAAACTCTGGCTCCACTCCTCTCCCTCTCCCTCTCCCTCTCCCTCTCCCTCTCCCAGGATGAACCATCGGCTTAATAATACTGATGAGATTTTGCATTAATAGGAAAATTGAATCAAAATCCAGGAAAAGCTGAAGTCCACTGTGAGCAGTCCTTAGCAAGTTGTGTTTAACTCTCACCAGACACTGAGAGTTAAAATGTGACCAGTGGTTTCAAAGAAACACCATGAAAAACTGATTCTACCTGATATGCATAGCCTGAGGGAAAGGAAGGGTAGAATGACGACGTATGTCAAATATGTAATAAATTGCCATAAATACAGGGCAGAATCTTGAGTGGTGCCAAGCTGAACAACCACCGCGAATCTCAGGCTCTCAAAGGCAAATAGTGCTGCTCAGCTGCCAAACCTTTCAAACTGGAAAGGCAAGTCACATACAAGGAAGGGAGAGGAGGAGGGAGAAGGACTGAGAGCCCGCTGCCCAGAGCACTCCCAAATATAGATCCCATTTCTGTAGCAAAACACTGCCTGTTCCGCTGAATCTAGAAGAGGGTACAACAGATTTATGTAGCAGGAAGGTAGATGAGGGTGGGTCCAAAAAACCGAGGAATTTATTTATAAAAAATTGTGTATTATTTGTACATGTTCAAACTTCAGTCACCTTCAAAGTACTCTCCGTTTGCAGTCAAGACTTTTTTCCATTGCTCAAAACAGGTTTTGCACTCATTGATTTGGATGACTTTTAGTGCTTCTGCCGTTTTTTGTTTCACCTCTTCCACATCAGCAAAACAATGAGCCCTTTTTTTAATCCGGGGAAACAAAAAAAAGGTAACATGGGGCAAGATTGGGTGAATAGGGAGGGTGGGACACAAGGGTCATGGCGTTTTTGGTCAAGAACTGCTGAACACTCAGCTGAACAAAATTTCACCGCTGTACATTGTTCATGTAAACCAGCCATCGAAAAAATAGGCTAACGTGTTGAAATTATCCAAAAAAAAAAAAAAAAAGACAGGTACTCTGCTGGCTGGGGCATGCTGGGAACTGCAGAAGCTTTTCTATTTCTCCCTGGGCTTCCACATTAAAGCACTTAAAGGTTTAGTTAGAAGCTTGGATAGATGCACGCATCTATCCAATGTGTAGTAGTAATCTATCCAAGGTTTAGTAGAGGGATGCACTAGCCACTTGCCCACTCACCAATATCAAGGACCCTCTGCTTAGCCGTGTGCTGCCGAGAATGCCAGTACTTCCAGTGTTTCAGCTGTTCATCACGGTTTTTGTCTTCACTGAACACAACCATGATCACACTCTGGAAAGATCACAGAACAATAATCAGATATACAAAGTTAATATGATGCACAGGAGTTCAGTGAATTGCAGCCATAAAAAGGGATGGTTAATCCTTTCTCCATGCTGTTTTCCCAGTGAAAAACTGCCCCATATTCTTGGTGTCCTGATAAATGAACTCACAAAGTTTTTAACTGATATCAGCCTTTATGGTTGTTCAGTGGTTTGGACTCAAGTATCAGAAGGGCCACTTTCTCCCACAGGAGTCTGTCCAAACCTTACGATCATCATCAGGGGTCTTCTGTCCCTGATGTTAGGTGACTGATGACAAGAGACAGAGCTTCTTCCAGATATGATAGCCCATATCCAGACGGTAGCCCTTGCTTGGCACCAAGTTTGGGTCTTTCGAAGACCCATTGAAATATATATATTTATTTGCCCAGCAAATGTTCAAAGCTGAAGCTAACTGATGGTTTTTACTGGCATTTTTATATGTGCTTTCACTGTCTTGATTGCTTTCTCTAGATACAAATGCATTATATTTTCAGGTATGTGTTCTACTTTTTTATGATTATAAGCTGCCTTAGAATTTTGTTTAAAGTGAAAGACAGCATGTATGATATTCCAAATAAATAAATCAGAACTGAAATAACCTTGTAAACTCTTGCGGGTAGATATGAGCCTGTTCCTCTGTTAAACATTGGCCATTGTAACAAACTGCATTTAGAGGGGCATAGTAAAAACAAACATACACACTCATTAAAAAGTCATTAGCAAATCGATGTTCTCAATCTCAGAAGAGACCAGCCATACCCTGACTTTGCTGATTGGATGTCTGAAACATTTATTGTCTCCAGTCTCACTCAAAGTTATGGCATAAAACTGCCCCTTGTTTAAGTAGGTCATGGGTCCTTCTCCTTGCTTTTGACGAAGGGATTTGGTTGCTTCCAATGTATACCGAAAAGTGCTGCTGCATGAAGGAGGTAAGAAGAAACACACAAAAAGAAAGAGTGAGATGGGCTGAAATATTAAAAAAAATCTCTTATGATGTAAAATTCAAGTAACTGACAAATAATCCATAATTTATGTATTTGTATTATTGCATTATTTATTTATTGGAAGTATTTTTCAACTCATTCCTCAGCCAAAATGCTTCCCAAAGTGGCTTACATATAATCAGCCAAACAAGTAAAGTAGTAAAACAAGGCAGTCCATGATTGCAGGCATACAATTTGAAAAGACTGAAGGGAAGGGAAATGAAATCTTTCAGCAGGGCTGATAGAAAATCCCTTGCCTTATCTCAGAATGACTGCTGGTGGTGAGAGTTGAGGGAGGAGAAACCTAAAGGCACCTTGTCTTAAGCAGAGCCATGTAAATGGCCACAGTTGAATAGCCAACACATGCAGTGGCTCCCTTGTTTGGTTTGGTCCTAGAAAAGTCACACACAGAGGCTCTTTCTCTGTATCCTGCCAATGATGGAAGCACAATTAGCTTTGATACACGAGAAAACCATCTCAGGATCAAACTACACATCACATTAAATTCATGTCATTCATACTCCATGTGGTTTTATTGGATTTGGAAGTAAGCAACAGGGGAACTATGAATTCAGATTTAATCTTTTCCTCCCTAGTCACAACTCCCAGAAAAACATCCACCACTCCTCATGCCATCCTACTGGGCAGCTTTTTCACTAGCATTAACTTTTGCAGATGGAAGGGAGGAAATTTACAGAGGATTGTGGCCAAGGACAGGGGGCTTGGACTGTCCTTCCCTGCAATTTGCAGTCCCAGTTTAAATCAGGGTCTCATGTTTACTTTTAGTAAAGAAATATACACAGTGCTAGTTTGGCCCACAGCTTGTGGTCCCACACAAATTGCCCTACAAAAGTTCAGTTGGACCCATCTTACCATGCTCTGCTGTTTAATGAAGACCTTTTAATTCTTATTCCAGGAGGCTTTCAGCTTCCCAAGAGGATAAGATTTTTATCAAAGGTTCTATGTTTTAAAAAGGGAACATTTCATGTAAAGATGGGCATGATAAAGGACCAAAATGGCAGGGATCTAACAGAGGCAGAAGAGATCAAGAAGAGGTGGCATGATTACACAGAAGAACTATACAAGAAAGAGCTTAACGTCCCTGCTAACAATGATGGGGTGGTCACTGACCTCGAGCCAGACATCCTGGAATGTGAAGTCAAATGGGCCTTAGGAAGTCTGAGCAACAACAAAGCTAGTGGAGGCAACAGTATTCCAGCCGAGCTATTCAAAATCTTAAAAGACAATGCAGAAAAAGTGCTACACTCAGTATAACAGCAAATTTGGAAAACTCAACAGTGGCCACAGGATTGGAAAAGGTCAGTTTACATTCCAATCCCAAAGAAGGGCAATGCCAAAGAATGTTCAAACTACCGCACCATTGCAGACATTTCACATGCTAGCAAAGTTATGCTCAAAATCCTACAAGCTAGGCTCCAGCAGTATGTGGACTGAGAACTACCAGAAGTACAGGCAGGAATTCAAAGAGGGAGAGGAACTAGAGATCAAATTGCCAACATACGCTGAATCATGGAGAAAGCTAGGGAATTCCAGAAAAACATCTACTTCTGCTTCATTGACTATGCTAAAGCCTTTGTGTGGATCACGACAAATTGTGGCAAGTTCTTAAAGACATGGGAGTACCTGACCATCTTATTTGTCTCTTGAGAAACCTATATGCGGGTCAAGAAGCAACAGTGAGAACTGGGCACAGAACCACTGATTGGTTCAAAATTGAGAAAGGAGTTTGGCAAGGCTGTATACTGTCTCCCTGCCTATTTAACTTATATGCAGAGCACATCATGAGAAAGGCGGAGCTAGATGAATCACCAGTTGGAATTAAGATTGCTGGGAGAAATATCAACAACCTCAGATATGCAGATGATACCACTCTCATGGCAGAAAGTGAAGAGGAACTAAAGAGTCTCTTGAAGGGAGTGAAGGAGGAGAGTGCAAAAGTTGGCTTGAAACTCAACATCAAGAAAACTAAGCTCATGGCATCCAGTCCTCTCACAGCCTGGCAAATAGATGGGGAAGAAATGGAGGTACTGACAGATTTTATTTTCCTGGGCTCCAAGATCACCGCAGATGGGAACTGCAGCCAAGAAATTAAAAGACGCTTGCTCCTGGGGAGGAAAGCTATGGCAAATCTAGACAGCATACTAAAAAGCAGAGACATCACCCTGCCAACAAAAATGCGTATAGTCAAGGCTATGGTTTTCCCAGTTGCAATGTATGGCTGTGAAAGCTGGACCACAAGGAAGGCTGAGCGCCAAAGGATTGAAGCCTTTGAATTGGGGTGCTGGAGGAGACTCCTGCGAGTCCCTTGGACCACAAGGCGATCAAACCGGTCAGTCTTAGAAGTGATCAACCCTGACTGCTCTTTAGAAGGTCAGATACTGAAGATGAAACTCAAATACTTTGGCCACCTAATGAGAAGGAAGGACTCCCCGGAGAAGAGCCTAATGCTGGGAACAATGGATGGCAAAAGAAGAAGGGGATGGCAGAGGATGAGGTGGCTAGATGGAGTCACTGAAGCAGTTGGTGTGAGCTTAAGTGGACTCCGGGGGATGGTGGAGGACAGGAAGGCCTGGAGGAATGTTGTCCATGGGGTTGCGATGGGTTAAACACGATTTTGCGACTAACAACAACAATGTTTAAAAGACAACGAACATAACAAACAAAACCAGAAATTTTAAGCCTGATATTCCTTACCTTGACATATTCTGCATGGCTATTAATACATGAATTTATTACTGAATAAACTTTATTCCTCACCAAAAATACGAAAATTCTTACTGCAGTATAACCAGGCGGAAGCAGTATTCTAACTGTTGGTTCATTAACTGCAATTTGAGCTCCTGATTGTGCACAGAGACCATTGTAACTGCATATACTTGGGTTTATAATATACCTGACCACTTTTTGCAATTTCTCTCTAAACCACAAGGGAAATTTCAGTCAAACAATCATGCATGTCCTGGAGCAGGAATAAGATGTAAGCATAGTTAATATAAAAAGCAATTTCTAATTTCTATTCTTCTGCTCTCATTTGCATTGTATTAAGCCTAAAAGCCTATCCAATAAAAAATCAACAGAAATAATTCCATGAATCTCAGTGGGCACTGGATTCTGAGTATAATTCTAAACCATACAGTGTAGACTCTCAGTTAACTGGTACCCATGGGGACTGGTAGATGTCAGGTAAATGTAGTTTCTGGTTGCTTGAGAGTTACTATTAAAAATAGGCCTAACCCTATAACCCATACCATACCTTACCATACCATACCATAAACTCTGTATTGACTGGATATTAATATTGAAATACAGTAGTTAAAAGCAAATTAAGACAAATAAAGGCAAACTTCTATCTTCTGAGACTGAGCCTTGATATCATAGATCATTGACAAAATGGCATTAAGTTCCTCCATGAACACTCCACCTTTCTCAAGCCTCTTGCATATTTCTGTCTTCTGCTTGAGGGTAAGCACTATGCCTTTACACTTACTTGGGACCTGTTTCTGCATACTTGGGGTTGGGTGAAAACACAAAATTTGAATAACAATAGACCGGTATGTTTATACAGGGTGAAGTGGTGGGAGTGGGAGACAAACGTGGGCTTATTCACAGTGCAATGTACAGTGTGCCAAGTTTAAACTTACAGTTCTGCTGGAAATTGATTTTATATTAATTTTTATTTAAGGTATTATTTCTTTGATTTTTTTGCTGGTTACCTGAGTTCTGGTTAACTAAGAGTCTATTGCATATTCTTTGAATGAAAATTTCCATCTAGCATACTAAACCTTAAGGCTTCACATTTAAAATTTCTTGCTTTAGCATTGTTTCTTTAAAACCAAAGGGGCTTAATTTATACCTGATCAGTCACTTTATCGCCAATGGAAAACTACTTCAAGAAATCTAATGCTATATATTGGTAATGTAGGAAAAGTCAAAGGATGCTATCCTTATGCTATTATTCCTAACGCTAGCATCAGAAACCAGAAGACCTTCCCATGTGTGCGTATAACGACCATGCAGGCAGATCAGTATTTTCCTACTGATCAGTACCTTTCTTCTTAACAGAATAGAGATTCAGTGGGGACCCTCCACCCATCCCCACGATCAGCTTTCCTGATATGATTACAGGATGACACACATGGAATAATAGAATCATAGCACAGCAGAGCTGGAAGGGGCCCAAAAGGCCACTGCGTCCAAACCCCCGAGGGCAGGATGCCAAGTTAAAGCATCCCCCCACAGATAACTGTGCAGCAGCATCTTGGGACAGCCCGTGATCTCCCTCGGTCCTTGTTTCCATTGTTGCGTTGCCCTAACTGTCAAGGACGTTTTCCTTGGATTAGTACACCACAAAGCAGAGTGCCACATGGTGGTGTAGATGTACATGCTGAAAGAGGAATAATATTTAGCCTGGGGCCTCCCACTGACAGTAAGGAGGAGTGGAATGGAAAAAGCATTCCACAGCCCATCTTATATCCCGTCTATGCACCACTTTTCTAGATGATACAAATAATATATAATAAATGTGCCACTGCTGGTCATGGATAGAAGGCAGATTCCATGGAGCCTTGCCACAGTTATCCATGTGCCGGTGCCCTGGTTTGTTTGTTTGTTTGTTTAAAACTTTTATATGCCATCTCTTATGCATAGCATCTCAGGACGGCTTACAATCATTAAAATCAAAATATGATAAAACAATCCAGTATAATAAATAACATATGACCAGTGAAATAAATTAAACCAAAAGTGACTGTTAAAACATTAAGATACTAATTTTTAAAATAATGATTGAATGAAAAGGAATGTGCTCACATGGGGCTGCCTTTGAAGACAGTCCAGGTACCTCAACCAACAGAGCAGCAGGGTTATCAGCAAGGACCGGCCCTAGAGAACGTATCATGCCAGTCCTCTGCCAACTGCATTGGCCGCCTGTCATTGCCCAGGCCCAATTCAAAGTGCTCATGGCTAACATATACAGCCTTACAGGGCTTGGGACCGCAATAACAAAAGGAATGCCTGGCTCCGGATATCCCTACCAGACCACGGAGGCCCTGCTTCGCAAATGACGTGAGGGGGGAATTAGCGAGGAAACGGACCTTCTCTGTTACAGTACCTCACCTTGAAATTCCTCTCTGAAAGAAGTGCGACTGGCATCTACCTGTTTTCATTGCCATATAAAGACCTTTTTCTTTAGTATTCGCTTTTCAAATTATGCTTTCGGTTGATTCTTACTGCTGGTTTTCTTGTTGTTTATATTATTGTTTATCCTCCTGTTTTTGCACTATATTAGTATGCTTTTATGTGGTTTTTCACTGTTATTGTTTTATTTATTATTTTTATGTCAGCTGCTCTGCTATATATGCTATGTGAGCAGCCCAGAGAACCCCTGGGCTATGCAGCAGCACACACTTGCAATCAATCAATCAATCAATCAATCAATCAATATCTAGCTTTTGAATTTCATAGGAGAAAGCCAACAATGCCATTACCTGATTTATCTGTAATGTCTGTGCCTTGGATTATTTATTTATTTATTTATTTGCCGCATTTGTATGCCACCCCATAGCTGAAGGCTCTCTGGGTGGCTCATAGGGCAAATAAAAATTAATAACAATAACAAACAAGCCATTTTTCCACAATTATTGATGGCCAGCAAAACTAGCAGCCTTCAATAGAGTATTATGTTATATTTATATCCTGCTTTCTCCTCTTGCAAGGGTCTAAAGGTGACTTACATAGCTCTCCTCTGCTCCATTGTTTTCCTCATAACAACAACCATGTGATGTAGGTTAGGCTGAGACTGTGTGACTGGCCCAAAGTCACCCAGTGAGCTTCATGGCCAAGAAAGGACTAGGTTCCTGGTCTCCAGTCCAACACTCAAGCCACCACACTGCACTAAACAACATTCATATCAAATTTGAGCTTTCTGATATCTCGGAAATTTTGGTATCTTCATCAATGGAGTTATTGAGAGATATATGAATGGCAAATAAGGAACAGGTATGCTAAATGGAGGAGACCACAGTGTTCTTAATAATAAAGTTGTCCCTGAGTACAGGGCAAGCAAAACTTGGGTCCTGTGTGCCACATATTTTAGTGTGAGTCCAATAGGAAGCCTTTATGAAACTACTATAAATCAGCTATCCACACATTGTTGTTACTTACTTGGCTGATTGTTCATAAATATATTCCTCAGGTCCCACAGAACCACTGCGAAATTTCTAAAAGATGGAGAGAATGTATATATCAAAAGTCGTTGAGCCAAAAGCCAAACCAAATTGCTTATGCAATGCCAGTCAAAAGATTACTAATTTGATTATCCAACTCATCTGCCAATTACATTTCTATAAATGTGCATATGAATGAAAACAATGACCGTTCAGATTTACTGACGGTTCTAATGAACTCGAAGAGACTAAGAGACCAATTCAGTGGCTTTCCGATATTGTTGGCGAAGTCATGGGATTCTTCAGAAGGCCAGGCATAAGATCCTACAATTCTGTGAGGGGGTCTCTTCCTAGTTTCCTTGCAGCTGTCCCAGAAAGAACTGCTGGCTGCCCTCACCCCAAGCCAGCAACTGGGCCTCGGGGAATACAAAGGAGGTGTGCTGAGGGCAGGGAGGGGAGAAGGCAAGGGCTGCAGAGTAATATCAATTCCAGCTGGTGCGCCAACCGTCCAACCTCCCTTTCCCTGGTGCTAAATCTAGATGACTCGAAACAGCGATTTAGAAAAAATGCTGAGTAAGAGATTGCTGCCGAATCCAAAGTGACTTTGGAGGCTCACAAGCATATACCATGGGAGTGATGGAACTGCACCCCATTTTGTCACCAACGTAAGCCCCGCTGATTTCAGTGGGTCCACGGTAAGCATGACTAGATTCTATCTGATCTTTTTGAAGCCAAAGGCATATTATATTTTTATATGGGGAAATCCCTTAGAAGAGGCATCCCCTTCTGTATGAAAGGGAGAAAAAGGAGACAATTCTTTTTAGATGGTGTTTCCAGCCTTTCCCAGCCAGTTGTCTCCCCAAGGGGTTGAACTTCAACACCCATCATTTGACCTACTGGATTGGAATGATAGGAGTTGCTGTCCATCACATTTTGAGGGCCACCAGGTTGGGAAAGACTGGTCCTCACTATTTACAATTTATGCAAATATTTGTATTGAATGTAAAATTCTTTAAATCTGCTATCCTATTAGAGACATTTATGGTCAATTGAAAGTATTTTGAATAACTCATATAATCCTGCCTTCTGATAACCCCCTAACCTCCAGATTTTGCACTACAACTCTAACTGTCCTTCAACAAGAGACAAGTTTGCCAGAGCTGCTTAGAGCTGTAGTCCTAAAAATCTGGAGGGGGCCAACAATTTATCTAACCGATTACATCTCTTCATAGCTACAGTCCTATGTCCAAAAGTAGGACGGAATGATGGACACACAGCACTGTAGCTCTTCACTGGCCTGAATATATCTCACATTTTTAAAATGTAGAGTTGATTGCCATTGTGAAGTCCATCCCAATTAAAGCTGCATGTGTGGGGAGGAAACAAGCCCGTTGGCCCAATCCCCGCCATTGCGCCTTCAGCGTGCGTGAGAAATGATATCAGCAGGAAGCCTTCTCTAAGCATGCAAGCTACCCAAACAACTCAAAAGCCATTACTTGGCCCAGGTAAAATACTTCAGTATTAATACTGTTATCACTGCATGATGCTGACCACGTAATATCATATCCATTTGTTGCATTTGTTAACTAAAATAATCCACTGTTTGTTTAAAAAATAAATGGAAAAGGTTATCATGCAGGACAGAAATGAATTGTTGACTCTGTTCTAACAATGATGTTTGTCTAGATTATTCCACCCTTAGTTATAAATAACTCATAATATATCCAATTATGATAGGAGTCTCAATAAGGAGGACTCCTATCTCAACCTTTAAAGATTATTTATTTAAAAGATATATATTCCATACTTCAGCAAAGGTTCCAGAGCCTTACAAAAACAAGGTAGAATACAAAACAAAAACACTGTAACACTATAACATGATATATCACCAACATGTTAAAATAATATAATGAATAGCCTAGGAAAACGGAGGCATCTTTGCCCAGTACGGAAAGAATAAAAATGTTGGTGTCACGTGAACCTCTCTGGGGAGAGAATTACAGAAGCAAAGCGTCACCACTGTGAAGCCTTTCTCACCTCTGCTTTGCCTTGCATAGCAGGCCATCAGAGGACGGACTTCAAAGAGGACCATTGGACTATCCTACTTGTTTGGAACTGATTTCAGGCAGCTTGCATCTCAAATCCCTCTTCAGTCATCAAGTTCACTGGGTTGCTTTGGGCAAGCCACTATCTCCCAGCCTAAGGGTAGCAGGACTGGGTACCTCCTAAGGACTCACAGCCCAGCAAGATCCCCCTAAAAGCCCGTGGGAGTTGCTCCTTCACTTCGCCACTACATCCGGCTTCTTCACCTGCTTCTCATTCTGGTGCAGGTAACGTCAATGGTGAGAAAGAGAGGCAGTACTGCTTACTTGCTTATGGGCTCTCTGCCTATCAAACAAGTAGCAGCGACCATGGGAAAGAGCGGGAGGAGCAATAGCAGCCGGCAGCATTGGCAGCAAGAAGGCAGAGTCAGCAAGCCAGTGGGCCATGGACAGTTTTTTGCCTAATGGCTCTCAAAAACCTGGAACTCACAGGGCTACTATGCTGGACAGAACAAAAGCACCGGCAGAACTCTTTTGAGAAAAGTAGGACACACATGCGACAGATATGTACGTAAGCCACTACTTCCGCACCCTCAGCGCCCCAGTTGACAGACATACCTCGGCCCCTCCATCTTTAAAAGTATCACTGTAAGTACTATCAGGAGTGCTTCTCTGGTCATCTTTCACATAGGTTGAGTGGGGCGTGATGCTGGGTACTTCGTAATGTCCGTGCTCAAATATAACCCCCCGGTGCTCCTCATTTTCTCCCCTTGCATAATGCACTGATGGGGCCATGTAAATCGGGGTATAGTCTTCTGCTTTCACCACCATCACTCCTGTCACAGAAATAGAAGTTGGGCTTCCAGATACACTGGAACTGAACTGCTGCTCCCTTTTGGATGTCTCCAACTGCTCCTGATTCAAGGAAAGATTAACTGGTACCGTTTTCAAGACCTGCACTCTGTTTTCACCATTGCTGCTCACATTACTCTGAGTTTCACTGGTGGAAAGACAGTTTCTGAGGGTGAGAAAGTGAAAAAGGGATCATGAATGAAGTTTTATAATTTTATCTTACCAGTGATGTTTAGTATGTGCAGAAATCCTAGCTTTTTTAGACAGGTGGATGCATTTGGAATTTGAAAAAGTGTTGTGAACACTATTGCAAAATGGCAACAGTGTAGAACCCAAACATTCACAAGTAAAAATTGCACCAGAATCCAGGAAAAACACAACAAACAAATCACAGGAAAAACACCCATCACTCTCCAGTCTCCTTTTCAATCCTCAGAGACACTCCCTATATCCCCTCCTTTAAGCATGCCAGGATACTTGAATGGCAGAACCATCTGATCTGGAGTAAAACAACAGAGAACCATGGCTCTGTTCATATTACTTTGATAGAAATGTCACAAGGATTGCAGTCTGAAGCTTTGATACATGCTCTGCATGCAGAGCTCCAGGGTATGACCCAGAACTTAATATCACAGTACACTGGGACAGTAACTGTTTTGGTTACTATCTTCTATAAACCTCACACTTCCTTCTTTCAATTTATTCAGCTTGTCAGTTCTTGATTTTTTTAAACTTGGCTAATTTTACTTTTTGGTACATATCCCAGCTGCTTTCCTTAACAGCCTCCTTTCTGTAATGTTTTTTGGGAGTGGGAAGGGAGGAAGATCACAAGCCATCAAGCTTCTATTCTTATCCAAGCTGAGTTTTTCTTAGATGAAGTTACTGATCTCCTGCTTTAAAGAATACTGTACCTTTTATCCTGGTCATCTTGATTATCATTCACTTTGTTAACAGGCAATAGTCTTTTATCTCTGGGAACCTAAAACAAAGGACATACCATATGAGTGTAATTTGTAGTATTTCTATGTTTTTGTTTTTGGTTTTAAGAGGAATCTTTCAGCATGGCTAGAAATGGTAGGACTGGTGGCTTACGGATGGACCAGATATGATTCTCCAGGCAATTTTATCTGATTCCTGGTGACCTACTTCATTGTAAGATTAAGGCATCACGAGCCATTTGCCCACAATTTCAAGGCCATTCCTCATGCAGATATGAGTTCTGTGTATCTTCTTCTTTACTTTCAATGCCAGCCCATTGGGGTAGGAAAGCAGAACAAGGTTGAGACCATTTTCCTCCTTAGCCAAATGGAAGTTGAGAAGTGCATCACTGGAACTGCAGTTCAGGAGGAAAGGGATAACCCAACTGTTCATTATGCTCACAGCCCAGCTCCAGTACCGGATCCAAGCTTTTGAGGGCCCTTGCGCAAGATACCCTCAAACTGGCCCCCCTTCTCAGTGAGCCCACCTTCTGTTATTTTATTTATTTATTTATTTATTTATTTATTTATTTATTTAGAGGACTTCTATGCCGCCCCATTCACCGAAGCCTCGGGGTGGCTCACAATCATAAATAAATAACATAATATAAAACAATATAATTTAGCAGTATAACTGTAAAATTTAAGTCGCCCTGGCCAAAGAATAAAATAAATAAATAATATTAACAATTAAAATAATGTTTGAATAAAAAGGTCCTAGCCTGGTGCCAAAAAACAAATAATGATGGGGCCAGGCGGACCTCTCTGGGGAGCACATTCCATAGATTGGGCGCCACCACAGAGAAAGCCCTCCTCCGAGTACTTACCCTCCTAATTTCCTTCACGGAGGATTCCTGGAGAAGGGCCTCTCCCGCTGATGTCAAGGGGTGGGCGGACGTAAGCGCTCCTTCAGGTAACCAGGACCCAAGCCGTTAAGGGCTTTATAGGTCATCACCAACACCTTGAATTGGGCCCGAACTTCAATGGGAAGCCAGTGAAGCTGACGGAGAACTGGAGTCATGTGAACATAACACCCAGTCCCCATCAGCAGCCTGGCAGCTCTATTTTGAACCAATTGAAGTATCCGGACCATCTTCAAGGGCAGCCCCACGTAGAGCGCGTTACAGAAGTCAAGTCGGGAAGTCACCAACACATGTGTCACTGTCGCCAGGCAGTCGTTCTCCAGGTAGGGGCGCAGCTGATGGATCAGCCGAAGCTGAAAGAAAGTGCTCCTTGCCACCGCTGTCACCTGAGCTTCCAGTGAAAGCTCTGGGTCGAGGAGCACTCCCAAGCTGCAGACCTTGTCCCTAAGCGGGAGTGCAACCCTATTCAGGACTAGGTTCAATTCACCTTCCCCGAAGCCCGATCCGCCAACCAACAGGACCTCCGTCTTGTCTGGATTGAGCTTCAGTTTATTGGCCCTCATCCAGCCCATCACCTCGGCCGGGCACCGGTTCAGTACAGCCACTGCCTCACCCAGATTGGTGGAAAACGAGAGGTAGAGCTGGGTATCATCAGCGTACTGATGATTCCGCAGCCCACACCTCCTGATGACCTCTCCCAGCGGTTTCATGCAGACGTTAAACAGCAAAGGGGACAAAATGGACGCCTGCGGAACTCCATGGCGTAGCTGCCATGGCACAGAGCCATGGTCCCCCAGCACCACCTTCTGGAATCGGCCATTAGGACCAGTGGCTGTCATTTCAACCCCATTCGCATCATTGCTACCACTTGCTTGCCTGATAGGCAGACAGCGAGGGAGCAAGTAGGCAGTCGCATCAGCTGCCCTTCCTTCACACCCCCCCTTTGCCTGGGCCAGAGCCAGAGGCAGGTGAGCAAGCAGGCTGCAGCAGCGAAGAGGGGAGGATCTCCAGGTTGGTGGAGCCCCGATGGGGAGTGAGCCCTCAGTAGGTGCCCACCAAGGTTAACCTTGACACCGGTCCTGTCCCCTCTAATGACTGGTACTGAAAGCATCAGCAACAAAATATGCACAAAACCTCAAGTGTTGCATCGAGTGTCACATGAAGTTTGTCCTCCATTCATAAGATAAGGCTGACAATGTTTTCTAGCTGTGAGTGATAGAGATCAGTGCGTGTTTTAATGTTCATACTATTTCTTTAGACTTTTTAAACTGTGCTTAGCTACAACTCTCCTAAAATGACATCCAGTAAAAAGCCATCACCACCCCTCTCTCCTCCAAGAACACCAAACCCAGAGCAACACTTAAACCATGCATAACAGCAAGGAGAAAACAAGCAGAAGCACCTGTCAAAATAAAAACATCTCAGTCATGCACCTAACACGACCTTCTTCTACTCCCCACAGCCAGATACTGTATGTCTTACTGCAGTCCCCATCAGTTCCAAAGGCCATGCTGATGGGAACAAGGGTAATGGGAGCTGTAGTCCAACACAGCCAGGGAGTATTAGAGGAAATCTGGCCTAAAAGCAGAGGTATTGAACCTCTTTCAGTCCAAGGCCTGAATTTCATTTTGAAGAAGACTTGGAGGCCTCATTCTAGCAAGGGTACAGCTGAAGGCAAAAGAGGCTTGATAAGAAAACCAGTGCCACCATATGGCAGCTTAAACCTCTTACTGCCATTCCTAAGCCTTAGGAAAGGCATTTCAGAACTTTAGAGAGGGGGAAAACTGCACTGAAGCCAGGAAAGAACTCGATCATTATCACCCATATCATCATCTTCTCTGTACCACCCTGGAGCTGAAGCTCTCTGAGCAGTTTACATTGGTTGGAGAAAAAGGACATGAGTATCTAGGGAACCCCAGGGATTGGATCTGGCCCCTAGGTCTAAAGTTTGCACCTAAAAAAGAGAAAAACAACTGTAGAAAGGCATTCCACAATGGTGGTGCCAATACTGAAAAGGCCCTGTCTCGCATCCCAGCCAACCATACTTATGAAAGCAAAGAGATACAGCGCAAGAGATGACAACCATAAATGCGAGAATGAAACAGACACCAGAAGACATTCTTTCAAATAACCTGGTCCCAGGTCACTTAGGACTTTACAGGTGATAACCAGTGCCTAGAATTAAGGATGAGAATGAGCCAGGAACCAGTGTAGCTTAAGCACTTGAGTAAAATGCTCTTTGTTCAGATTTAAGGGAAGCAGAGGCAAAAGTTTTGCGCTCCCCACCTTGTAATAATCATACAGTAATCCAAGAGCAGCAGCACTGTCCTCATCCCCATTGATGCTCATCATAGCCTTAGTAGCTGCCGTTAAGGGGTTCTCCAGGTAAGATTTCCAAGCTTCATCTTCGCTGGTGTAGGCTCTTCTAGTATTGAATGCAGCATCACTTGGCACTATAGTCACAAGCCGGTTTTTACTGCAGATTAAAAACAGGCACACTTAAAAGCATGCAGTGGGACCCAAAAGGCCTTCCCTTGCAATTCCAGAAAACACATTCACATTTCAGTGGCATATCTAATCATACAAGAAATGAGAAAACTTTTTTTAACCCAATCAATACTAGAAAAAGGCAACAATTGGCATTAAAAAGGAATTGGTTTGCTTAAGTGTCCTTAAGTATCAAAACACAAATTGCTATCTTATTATATATTGCATCTGTAAACTCTACTTTGTGTCAGGAATTCACACAAGTGAGCCCCTTTCACCCAATGCTGTAAATAAGTAAATAAAATAGATTGTGAGAGATTGTGGGAGTTGTAGGACAAAACTTCTGTAGGGTCACAAGTTGCCCATTCTTTCATTCATAAACATTCCAATTTGTCCATTTACTCAGCTGAAGATGGTTCACAGACTGGCTTCACACTGAACTCTGCTGATACTTCCTTATTTTAAAATGAACAACTAATTTGCTTGTAGAATAATAAACCAACTGGTTTTAAGTTATCTAAAAAATTACATGATAAAATAGTAAAACCAGTATATAGTAAAACCACAGTAATCAGCACTGGAAATGTAACAAATATAAAGGCAGCCATTCCAGCACCAGGCAGGCAAATCTAAATCGGAAAATCTAGAATTTAAAATGTATGCGAGAACAGGCATGTCTGCCTGGTTGCAAAAAGCCTTATCTTCTTTATTATATTTTCATACTGCCCCAAACCTGAAGGACCCTGGCTTCCTCAATAAACAAAACTTAGAACTCTAATGATAACATGGGCACAAAATTTTGGATATAATATTGAATTAGAAAAGTGGCAAAAGCTATGGGAGAGAAACATTAAGGTATCTTTAGCAACTTCGTATAAAGAAAATTTATATAAAATGTTTTATAGATGGTATTTGTTGCCAAGTCGATTAGCTAAGATGTTTCCAAATATGTCAAACGGATGTTGGAAATGTAAAGATGACATGGGTACTTTTTATCATATGTGGTGGACCTGTGAATATATGAAAAAGCATTGGATTAAAATACATAAATGGCTTGAGGAAATGCTACAAAAACCCTTAGCTTTTAAACCTGAAATTTTCTTGTTAGGCATTATACCGGAAAATATTAGCAAACAAGAAATGTATTTGATGCTACATTTAATCACAGCAGCGAGGATTGCGCTTGCTCAATACTGGAAGAGTGAGGAATTACCCACTGAGGAACTGATTTTAAAAAAGATTCTGGACTGTGCAGAAATGGACAGATTGACTCTATTACTGAAGGAGAAAGAAGATACTGACTTCTATCAAACTTGGGACCTTTTTTATGATTGGCTGAAGAAACGGGACTTGGCTTAGATTTAAAGATGTTTTTAAATTTTTATAAATTGATTTGAATTTGATTATAGAATGTTAAAAAGATACGTTATAAGGGGCTGACCCAGTACGTCCGATGTATTTGATGACTGACGTTTTTAGTTTTTAGTTTAAACATTTTTAATAAAAATCTTTATAAAAAAAACTTAGAACTCTATAATAACTTAGTAAAAGATAATATAAAATCCTTAAGTTTAAAAAAAAATAAAGCCCAAGTAAAAGCTAGGGTAAATGCTAGCAGCAGAGAATAGAATTACATTGTTAAGACTGAAGGGCTAAAAAGCCTGGGGAAATACAGTCTTCGCCTGGTGCCCAAAAGACCACAACAGGGGTGCCAAGCAGGGAAGGCATTCCACAACTGGAAAGCACTTCAAACAGCAGAGGGACCCAAAGAAAGGCCTTTGAGGATTATTTAGGGTCCTGGCCATAGCTAAACACATGGCTAGCGGGACTGCAGTCCCTGAACCACAGTCAAGGGGTGTCTACTTGCTACTCCCATCCAGCTTAAACAGCAAAAGAGGCAGGGAGGGAGGGAGGGAGCGTCTGCAGCCCTAGTCAGATCTCAGATGTTAGACAAAACATCCAGGCACATTCCAATCATTTTGCTAAGAAATGGGCAATCATTTTCTCCTATCATTTTCAGAGATACAAGCCTGGCATTTTTTGATGTGTTTAGCCAATGATCACAGCTATGATCAGCATTGGCCATACTGAGAAGTGTAGAATAACCATTTATCTGCAGAAGACACTTCCATGTTAGGGACATACACCCTGTGTTTTGTTTTTGGTTTGGTCCCAAGAAGCCATCAGAGTGCCTGCAAGTTGAAATGGTGGTCTGTATGAGCGTTTGCTGGCTTACTCAGCGGTAATGGTTTGACTAGAAGGCTACCCTATCTCAACTCTCTCCCTTCTACCCTTTCTAGCAGAAAACGGCAACACCCCAATTTTCCAGTAAGCAAATTGGGGTTTTTGCATTTCATACTAATTTTCGTTATTCACAGAGTTAAATCTGTGCAGTGCAATAACCTACAAGAAGAGAAGGGGACAAGGGGAAAGGAGAAGAGGGATTTAGAGTGTAATTTTATGCACGCTCGCCCGAGAGTAGTAATTCAGTAACTCTGAATATAATGGAACTTTTTTCTAAGCAGGCAGGCATACGTTTGTGTTAGAAGGCTGCAATTCCATACAAGTGCACCTCCATGTAAAACCCAACACACTGGTACCTACTTCGGAGTAGTTGCATTAGGATTTCTGTAAAAGAGGTATTTAAGCCACCACTTTAACAAGGCTATTTCTTCTGTTTTCTTCACAGAGGTATGAACACTTCAGTTATACATTTTCCCCCAGGGTTCTTCCTCTTTTGCCTTCTTGTATGTTCTATTACACAATTACAAGGTGGCAGTGTAGGGTAGTGAAATTGTAGAAGCATGTTTGTGCTTTCACATGGCAACTACATAAAAGCTGATTATTCTATTCTTAAAAAGTGTGGAAATACTTGGAAAGTACAGAGGTCATGGAAGATAATGACAGTGTAAAGCCCCTGGGAGCTACTGTAAGACATCATAATGGTACCAAAAATGCCTGTGTAGAGAAGCCTTAGGTTATGGTAGCAAAACCATACCAATAGCAAACTCTGTCCATGGGCTATCAGTAGATGAACCTGAAACTTCTCATCATACTCCATGCATCTGATGAGGTGGGCTATTGCCCACAAAAGCTTGGGCCAAGACAAATGTGTTAGTCCTTAAGGAGCTGTAAGGCTCTTTGTAGTTTTTGCTGTTAGTAACATTTATTTGAGTCGATATTCATGCGGAAGATAGAGTCATATGGGTAAGCCTGGGGGAAGGATGTTGCTCAAATGTTTAATCTGGATAATTAGAGTTGGTGCCAGTCTTCAGGCTCTGTCCTGGGGGGTGTCTATCAGATAAGTATCCAGCCAGAGTACTCGCTATTCCTCGACTCTGTTGCACATGCATGGAGAGAAGCAGATGACATGGAAGGCACAACTGGCCATTTTATAAGCTAGGGAGGCTTATTATGAATATCATGTAAGACCAGTATATTTTTCTAGTACAAAGTTATGTATCAAGTTTTATTAGGATTTATGTTTTACCTTCCCTCCACATTGTTATCCTTACAACATTCCTAAGAGTTTATTAGACTGAGAAGTGACTGGGCCAAGGCCATCCAGTGAGAAATGAGGCATTGGCCAGCCCTCCTCAGGCAACAAACTGTTGTGTCCATTTGTCTTGTCTGAGTGTTGTGCCTCAATAATGCAATGCTCGCTCGCTCTCGCTCTCGCTCTCGCTCTCGCACGCGCGCGCTCTCTCTCTCTCTCTCTCTCTCTCTCTCTCTCTCTCTCTCTCTCTCTGAGGTTTAATGTGTGTTTCTGTCTTCTGTGTCTGTGTGCTGTACCCTGTGAGACGGGAAGCTTGAATAAGTATTCAAGTTCTCTGCCATGGAAGCAATATCAGTCTTTTGCTTCCAGAAAAGCACAGACGCTCATTTCCACTAAAATATGTACCGTTTTGGCAGCACCACTGTACATTGTTGGGCATGTGTGCACACATAAATGTCACGTGAAGTTTTTGGATTAAGGGCAGTATTGGGAGCCCATTAAAGATGGGCTCATCATGGTCTTAAACTAGCCCTGGTCCTGGTAGGTGCACAAGGAAGGAGCCAGTGCACTATTGGCTCCTCCTGATATTGAGGGAGAGCCTCTTCTGTAACAATATGAAACAAGTTACAGATCTGGTCTGAGCAGGTTGTTTCCTATATGGAAGGAGGAGGAGGTTGAGGGAAATCCCTGCTGCTTCTGGCCAAAGGAGACAGAGGCCACAGCCTGAGAGCACTCTCTGGAAGGCTTTGTTTCAATCAATCTTACGCTTGTTCGAAAGGCAGTCCCCGTGAGCCTGTGGGGTGCAGTACACCAACTCTGAAACATGATGGCAGCGGTGACTGAATCTTTAACGGAAGAAGAGTAATGCACCATGAGTTGACCACAAAAAAGAACAGAACAGAACAAGAAAGGAAGGATGAAAATGGGGCACTTGAACCGACTGAGCACATTAAACCTGCAAGCTCATAATTTAGCCACTGCATGGAAATCTTGGGAAGAGGAGCCTAATCTCCCTCTGAGCATAGCAATGGCAGATAAAGAGGAGCTTGTAAAAATGAAACCATTTCTTTATTTGATTGGATAAAGGAGGGGAGAAATAAGTGAGGAGTGTGTGCAAACATTCCCTGAGCCCAGTGTACTTTGGCTGCAATAATAGGCAGTTTGATGCCCACTGCAAGCCCAGGAAGACTGAAACCGGGGACAGATACAGCCTGTTCTGGCAGGATCAAACAACCGGGAAAGGCACAGAGAAACACTAAACTAGTGGAAAGGTGCTAGCAGTCAGCTGCAGTTGGGAGATATTAGAGACTCTTTGGCAAGGGACAGGGTAGTCCCTGTCCTGTTTCCTCCCAGGAAGCACAAGCCACTGAGGCAGGATCCCAAGCTAACTTCATACTGTTTACTTACTGTTTAATATATTTACATCCTGCCTTTTTCCTGCAAGGAATCCAAGGCACCTTAAACAAACCTCCTCCTCACCATTTTATTCTCAC